AAGCGAATGCTCAAAGACCAAAATATTATTAAATCGACAACTATCCTGAGCAAAGAAATAGCCGTTCTCAAGGTTCTTTTAATAGCCAACTATTTTTTACTAGGACCTAAACCATGAAAATATCGTGCGCCTATACGACTATAGCGTATGCCTCTTATTTAATTTCTTCCTTAGATTTCCAAAGGTGGCGTCTATTTGGTAATGGAATATTGCAATGGAGGAGATCTAGCTGAATACCTTCAACGTTTGTCCTTTATTTAAGTCATTCTTTAGGAAAAAGAACTCTACCGGAAGAGACGATCAAACATTTCTTAATACAAATTGGTGCAGCGATGGATGCTATGAACAGAAAGGGAATAATGCATCGAGATTTAAAGCCCGGAAATATATTACTCACGCATTATGGCGATACAAATAAGAATATATTAGAAATACCTGGTCATCTTATTTCATTTAAGCTTGGTTTGTTTCATTTTTAATTCTATGAATATCTATATTTTTAAAACTAATAAGGTATCTAATGAATGCCCCCCATTTTCAGCTGATTTTGGATTCGCAAGATTTCTGCAGGACGGTATGATGGCAGTTACTATGTGTGGTTCACCTATGTACATGGTAAGATCAGAAAAACTAAATCATTTTTATTTATTTGAACAATGATAGCCTTCATCTGGCAACGTCAATTTTTCTTATCTTTACATCTTTTAGGCACCTGAGGTCCTAATGAATCATAAATACGACGCCTTGGCAGATATATGGAGTATGGGGATTATCGTGTACCAATGTCTTACCGGAAAAGCCCCCTTTTATGCGAACACTCCCGAGGCCTTGAAGAATATTTATGAAAAGACGCCACTGTTAAGACCTAAGTTAGTTCACGCGAGTTTTCTGCTTTGTTTCATCCTGCGATAAAATAGTAAACACTTAATTATGGGGATATTTTGAGGCTATCATTTAAACAGATTCGATAGGTACTTTATCATTTTTAAATCTTTATGTCATTGTAAACTTGTATATCAATATACCACATATTCTCGATCGATATTTTCTTGTATTTAACTAGGATTCCAGCCACCACAACTTCATTACTAAAAGATCTTCTTCTAAAAATGTTGGTCAGAGCACCTCCCGAGCGCATAGACTTTCGTAAGTATATTTTTATCTCATTTCGGAAAATATTCATAAATTTGTAATTGTTATTATTTTAACTAAATACTTTATAGATGGATTCTTGACTCATCCTTTTCTTCAACGTGGAAAATTCGATCCCTATTGTAAGTCTATATTGATGATTAGTGCACTGCCCTCCTATCACTTTATATATATATCTATTTATATGTATTAGCAAGTACTATTAGCTACTTTAATTTGACACAACAGAAGCCTAACTATCAAATGGAAAACTATTTTTATTTTTTATCTATTATCAAGTATTATACTCCTTAGCGCGAAAAATATTTGGCAAAATCAGAATTTAGTTAAAATTTAAAATCTCTCGAATTTTGAATATCCTCTAGTCTAGCACTTTCTTAGAGCCCTGAGGACATACTAATGATAGCCCAAATTTGCATTGAATCTAACTTCAATTACTTTCAGGTTGTCATTAGCAAAATATTTGGAATCGTAGCTTAGTATCTCAAGCCTTCATCTGTTAAAATTTAAAATTTAGCTTGATTTAGTTTGAGGCTGAATTTTATACTGAGAATTAGGATCTGTATTATGTTTTTATGTAATGAATGTTGCGAAAACTAGGCTAAACAAAGTTTATACTGTTAAAAAATCAAATGCATATTTCCCGGCGTGGCACAGCTAAGCTAGCTGCAGATCAGTAGGTACTTATTAAGGCCAGAAAATTGGCTTAAAATCCTATCCATATTATAGAATGCCAGAATCGAATTAGCAACTTTCTCATTTTACCTCTACAGCCTGCCACTTCATATATTTGCTGATTTGAATACATTTGTTTATTCTGGTGGATTATTTTTTTCGCATATCCACACATTTTCCAACTAGGTTGGTTTTTTTGTGCGTTACTTATTTTCATATTTAGTTCACTAGACATTAAGAACGCCACTTTGCTTGTGTCTCTCGCAAACAGTTTTTATTAATGAAATGGTGAGAGCGAACACTTACGTAATAATCAATGTAAGTGTGTTTCCAAACCCGATAATGCTTGAATATGTCAAAGCCTATATAAACTGCCATTTGGGATACTCCTATTTTACTAAACCTAACTCTTGATCAGCTGCTGATTAGTTTTAATGGAACATTCTTGATGACGGTAATATCCTTTAATTCCGGTGAAAACGTGCTACCACTTTTTATGGATTTGCCGGTGAGTTTTATTGACTCGCAAGCCTGAATTTTGTTGTGACGATGTTACCTCGCTCTGATGATGTC